CCTATATTAATATAATAATAAATTCATTATTCATAATCATCAATCATCATATTTAAATTATTTACTTACCTTTCGAATTGTATCTTGTACTTGATTGCCTAAATTTTCATTTGACTCGTAATTTTCCATATTGATTGTAAAAATTATATCTCCCAAAGCTCTTTCATATATTTTTTCAAGATTTTTGATTTTATCACTATACTTATTTGCTTTTGCAATCTGCAAAAAATTTTTTTTTTTTATTTTATCATATTTTTTAACTAAGTTTCTAATTTCAGTCACTGCATTTAAATAACGTTGAAGATTATCAACAAAATGCATGTTATTTGGATTGAAATTTTTATCACCCTTTAATGAACGAGTACAAAAAGTCATTAATTGACTTGTGTTTGTTTCTATTCTTTGACTGATTCTCTCATATTTTTCCCGATTATCTTTAGCATTTTTACAGTGAATATAAACGTCGTTTACTACTGTCGAAATACAACCGAGTAAAGCACAACAAGTTCCAAGTATATCCATTTGATTCATTCATTAAATAAAATAAAAATAAAAAACATAAAACGGTTTTAATGATAAATGAATGCTATCACTATTGATTCCATTTCGAGCGTCATCGTGTCACCAAAGTTAAATTCAATGCAATGCAATTGATAAGAATGAGAATTTACTGGGGGTTGGTCACATCAAACATACTTCAGGTCAATAATATTAATATGTAATCGCTTCCAAATTTTCGCCTCGTGATACATGTAAATCATTTCCGATTTATATGTTCGTTTCCCGTGATCTATAATTTACTATTTTACAGTGTTCAAGTCACCTTGTATAATTTTTTTCTTTTTATATTCATTCAAATTAATTTATACATACATATATATGAATATATTTTCTGTTATATTTTTAGGATAAGCATACCAAGCAGGAAGAATTAATGAAGAAAATTAGCTTATGTTCATTACCAACAAATGGAATAACAGTTTGTCAAGTATTGAAATTGCCAGCAGAGGTGTTAAAGAGTTAAAAATTTTATTTTTTTTATAAAAATTTAAATTTTGATTTGTAAATCTTACTCAGAGGGTGAGATTTATTTTTAATAGTAAAATAAATCTTAAATCAAATCCTAAAATTAAATAAATTTTGATTGACAAATTTATGAGGGCAGATCAGTTAATGAGGAAAATAATAAATAAATAAATAATATAAATAATAATAAATCTAACATTACAGCCAAATCTTGTCATGGTGGATAAACAGGACACATAAAAAAGTTTATTCAAAATCTGTTGTGGCAAGATTATTAATTTTGCCACAACGGATTTTGATATGTTTTTATATGTGAAGCAGAAATTATAAAAATCCGTTGTGACAAGAATTTAATTATAGTCTGCTGTGGGTTTGACTATATATTTAATCTAAAATTTTTAAACTGAATTTTTAAGTTTACTTATTTCTTCAAGTCTATTTTTTGCATCAGCATTACCATGTTTTGCAGCTTTTTTATAATAAGATCTTGCTCGATCTTTATCTTTTTCAAAATTGTATTTACCATCACGATAAATATCTCCTAGACAAATCATAGCTTCTGAAACTCCATTCATAGAAGCCATTTCAAAATATTCAACACATTCTTTGGCAATAGATGGGTCTTTCTTAGCTTTCTTTTTTATTGAGTCTGCATAGAAAAATTGTGCTTCACCAATATCATCATCAGCTGCCTCTTTAAATAATCTTTGTGCTTCTTCATATTTTATATCAACACCAGCATATCCATGTTTTAAATAATAAGCTTTCCAATACTTTGCTAGAGGACTGTTTAAAACATCTGCATGGTATTTAAAACACTTCCATGCTTTTTTTCTTGAATCTGTAGTATTCTCCTTGTGAAATATTATACCATGCTCCAAAGTTGTGGAATTTTTTAAGATAGCCACTGTTGATGATTCTTCGCTATAATCATTACAATCATCATCATCTTCATCATCATCTTCATCATCCTCTTCTTCATCCTCTTCTTCATCCTCTTCTTCATCCTCTTCTTCAAAAGCAGATGTTTTGTTGGCCCCATTTTTTATTAATGATGATACATAATATTTATTGTATAAAGTTTCCAATTTAGTTAAAATATATGATAATCTTAAACGTTTTTTAGGCTCATGATTCCAAGCTGTATCAAAGAACAAAATATTTGGTTTTTAAATAATAATTAATAAAAATATAAAAATATAAATAAATAAATACCAGTTGAAATTATTTCTTTAAAGCAATGTTGAATGTCACTTGAATGCTTATAATCAAAACATAACTCTTCTCTTTCACCATTCAAGACATGTTGAAAAATTTTTTCATAATCATTACTAAATTTATTAATATATGGAACCTGTTGAAAAGAGAGTTCCCAAAGAAGCATACCAAAACTATTTAATTAATAAATTAATTAATAAGTTGAATAAAAATTAATTAAACAATGTGCAAACTTTATCTTTACTACCTAAAAATTTCACATTCAACTGAGTAGGCAATATCTTTCATTTTTTCTGGTGCCATCCAACGACACATTTTTTCAATTTTTTGTTTTTCATATTGCACACTAATATCTACAAAATTTCTACTTAAAGAAAAGTTTGCAATTTTTGCTACAGCAACACCTGGTCCCATAATCTAAAATAAATAATAATAATAATAATTTTATATTATTATTATAAATAAATAAATAAATAAATAAATAAAGATTTTTACCAAAATATTTTTGCATCTAACATCACGATGATAAAATCTACATTTATGTAAAAATTGTAGTCCAAGGCAAATATCATATGCGAACTTTAATTTTTTTATCCAAGAAATTTGTTTATATTCTCCATATACATATTTTAAATTTCCTATATGTGCCCAATCAAATATTAATACATCCTTATCATTAACACGCGATGTGCCATGAAATTTTATAATACTATCTGATGAATGTAATTCACTTAAAATTGCTAGAGTTGCTTTCAATCCTTTCTCATCGTACAGCCGTGCCTCAAAGGGCACACAAGCAACTTTTATAGTATCTTTAAACAATTTTTTAAATACTTTTCCACGAACAGAATCAGCATCTGATTTTTTGAGGTCAATTAAATCCTTTTCTTCAATTATTTTACACAATGAGAATTTAATTTCTTCTCTTTTATTTGCTTTAAATACTTCCTTTGCAATTTTTTTTGTCTGAGAGTCAGAAATTCTATTTTTAGTGAATTCGTTTTTAAGTATATTGATAATTAATTCCGCATCCATATCCTATATTAATATAATAATGGATTCATCATTCATAATAATAATAAATTATGTATAGTCATATTTAAAATTTATTTATTCACCTTTTGATTCATCAAATTTTGAAATTGGTTGCTCAACTTTTCAACTGACATATATCTTTCTATATTAATCGCAGTATTTAAATCTTTCAAAGCTTTTTCATATATTTCTTCAAGCATTTTGATTTTTGGATTTTTGTTTTTAGATATTTTTTCTTTGATTTCAGTTACTGCATTTAAATAACCATTAAGATTATCAACAAAATACTTCTTGTTAAATTTGAGATTTTCGTCGCTATTTAATAACTGAATATAAAGAACTTTTAGGTGATTTGAAGTTGTTTCTATTCTTAGACTTATTTCTTCATATTTATTATTATTATTTTTAGGAAGAGTAAGAACTACTTTATTAATCGAATTGAGTAAAATAAAACAACAATTTTTAACTTTATCCATTGTTTTTCCATTAAATAAAAGTTTTTTTCAAAGATTGTTACGACGGTCCGCAGATGCCATTTATGTTGTGCGTGAAAATCAAATTTGTGTCAATTTGAAATTTACCAATTAAATTTTGGGGTGGGTGTTTGAATACAAATTTGATTTTTTTTTTTGAAACTAAGACTTCACTTCAAATTTATTAAACTATTAATACATGTTACATATAACGTTACCAAAAAAGAAATAATGACCCGCCACCCATGATAAAAAGTAAATTGATGGAAGATCCAAGCCTTGCATTGGCTACCAGGATTCGAACAGGCCAACTGAATGTTTTAAGGCTAGGCCACCTGCATCTGTTCTGAAGATAACCAACACACAACTAATCTATTAGCAAAACTGAATAATATTGTAACCATTCCTCCTCTAATATTATAGATTTACAAACTCCCTCTTGACCAGAAGCTAAACTATGTTGATTATTATTTCTATTATTAATACTAGGACTAGAGGAACTATTGTTTGGTTTCTTTTTTCTTTTTTCTTTTTTATTTATACCAGCATAAATTGGTCACAACGAGGTAACCATATAAATTGTTCTATATCTAAAAAAATATTATTTAAAAAAACAGAAATAATGTTTTGTGTTATACTTTTATTTTTTGAAGAGTTGTTAATAATATTGGCCAATGATAAAGGTGCCACTCCTTTGATTAAGTCAATAAAGTTAAACTCATCTTCATTGCTATTAATTTTCCATATGGATTAATTTGAAGATCACTTGTTGAAAACCATTTGTTGTTTGTAAACATTTTAACCAATTTAACTAAATGTTTTTGGTTATTAAAAATAATTGAATCTATAATAGCTTTATGACTTTTGCATTTCCATACATGTTCAAAAGTTTCTATTTCATCATGACACATTGGACAATTCCAATGTTTATATAAGTCAGGACATCTTTTTTTAACGTGCTCCACTGTAGGTAATTCTTTAGTTAGATATTTGATCCTTCTAATTTTAATATGACTTGAACAATGTATTTGTTGACACTTCATCATGATATTTGTTGTTTCTGTATAAGTTAATAAATTGTTCAAAACCACGATTTCTCGATAAATCTGTAATAAAATGTCATAAATGCTTTTCTACAGTTATTGTTCCAACATGGAATATATGAGATTGAAAATAAATTGTCTGGAATAAAAGCTATTGGCAATGAATCATAACCATGCGTCAATCTGGCTAATTCATTAAAATGGTCACCACTGTGACCTTTGACTTTAACAAAATTTAAGTTAATATTATTAATGTTGACAATGTCATTAAGAATTGTCCATAATAAACTGTTTGAAGCTCCTTTAAATATATTCCTTGGCATCAACAGATACTTGGAATTTTGTAGTGTATTAAAATGTTTGATAGAAGCTTTGCTGTCTGTGAAAATAGTGATTTGTGAGTTTTTTGGAGAAATTAATAATGCTATAATAATTGCTGCTACTTCAGCACATGTCAACAATGGCCACTTTTCTATTGTAGCAGAGAAAGATATTTGGGGAGCATTCAATGCTGTTTGTAGTATTGCGAAGCTCATTGACATTTGTATAGTTCCCACCCCAACCAAAGAACTGTCAGTATAGAATTCTAAATTATTGGAATGTTGTAATGTTTGTTGGAACCTTAAAAGTTGAGTTAATAATGGTCCATCTTCAATGAACCTTATCAACAAGTTATCTTGTTGTTGTTGTTGAACAATGATATTAATAAAGTAATGAATTCTTTGTCAAATGAAAGATCCATGATAGAATGCAAACTGGTAAATTTCAAATAGTGGTAAAAATAATTGAAAACAATTAACATCCAGTTTTTTTGTTCTTTGTAACAGCACCGCATCAGCAGCTGTGTATCTATTGACATCAGGAAATTTTTTCTGATGTAAATTTATGTAATATTATGGGGCCTGCCATAAACTTACGTAAATAGTGTAATATTATGCAAAAATTGCACAAAAATTACGCAATTATTACATTCAGTGTAAATATTACGTCCTTTTTATGCAAAATATTACAACATTTCATATTAAAACTTATGGATGTAATATTATGGTGGGAAAAGTTTCCTGATGTTATAACATCCAGTTCCTAAGTTGCTATGTATATTGCACCCCCAACAGGGTTCAATTACTGGAGCATCTAAAAGCGATAGTGTGTTATTGACACACCAATGTTGTATCAGAATCGTATTGTTCAAATTATCTTTCTCTTGTATTTTTCCTATTACTGGAGTATTATTGTTGAAATTCCACAAAACTATCCAATCTTTTGCCTGATTATTTAATGGTGGCATTAAAACTTGAGATCCTTTAAATGACTAATAGGATATACATATTGGGCTTGAATTAAACAACTACCATCATTTGATAAAAATATTTTTTGTTCTAATTCTTTAAACCACATTGGAGTCCTATGTTGAGACCTATGTGTTGTAAAACTGTTTTGTTATAGTCTGCCAATTGGATAGGTAATGACCATCTAATGATGTAAGTTGATCAACAAACATGATCAAATGTTTTTGTAGCTGACATCTATATTTGTTAAATATAATGTGGTTCAATACTGAATGTATTTCAATATGTCCTTCTAAAATTTCATATCTTTTATTTTTCATTAAATTAAATATAAAATTATTTTCCTTGCATAATGAAATCATCACTGCGATGAAAGATTTATAGTGATGCCTTGTAACAACTAAGGTTTCTGGTCAAAACTGCTTCTATTAGTACAGTCAAGTATTTTACCAAATTTGGAAATACTAAATGCCGTAATTATCAATGGTATGAAAAATTCTAGAAGAAATTCTGATTGGCTAAATTCAATCAGGGATAATACCCTGTAATAATTGACGTTATGAAAGTAAATTCTAATTGGCTAAATTCTGTGCAGATCTTTTCATTGAATAAAAAATAATCTTTTTAAAG